CCGACTTCAACAGTTCAAAACTGTGTGTTTCAAAGGTGAAACTGCCCATACATTCAGGGCAATTGTTGGTGAGATGCAGTTTTCCAGAGAACAGGACAGAAACCATCCTTCTTCTTGGATGCTTTCACATTTTCCAGTCCAGCCTGCAGTTTTTGGATTTCCTAATGGTGTTCCATCTGTATAGCAAACTGAACATGCTTAGCTCCCAAGACCAGACAAAATATAACCAGCTCTGGGTCTTGCTTTTGTTTCTTGAATATCAGGTACGATATGCTGGGCCACCTAACACGCGAAACAATAGGTGAATCAGAATAGAGCTGGAAGGGACCTTGGAGGTCTTCTAGTCCAGCCCCCTGCTCAAGCAGGAGATCCTATCCCGTTTCAGACAAGTGACTGTCCAGTCTCTTCTTAAAAACCTCCAGGGATGGAGCACCCACAACTTCTAGTTAACAGTTCTCACTGTTAGGAAGTTTCTCCTTACACCGCAGCGGGCGGTGACAAACCTAGGTTACGAACCCCAGCTTCCAGATAGCCAAGCTAACCATCATTGGTTTGAATGGATCAGTAAATTGCAACCCTTAGGAAGCGACTGTGCCCAATGGAGAATAAAAAGATGCCCGGCGTGCGTTCATTAGCCAAGAAATATGGTTTACAGGCTTTGCAAACACAGGCCCATTTTACATTCATCCGAACCAATATCCATCCAGCTTGCTGGTGATTTTGAATTTTAACAAAGGAGTCACCCTTCTAATCCCCTTATGCTCAGCACTGCTTATTAGAAAACAGGTCTCTGATAGCCCAGGCTTCATTCTCCTCTGTAAAATTGCCTATTCTCTCTCGCTCTGCCCCCTAAATGGTCTCTGGGAACAAAAGGTTTCTATTCTGCCATAACAGCCAGCTTTTATGTACTTTAGTTGCTGGGCAACAGTAGGCTTTGCCACCCACAGGTATTTGCCTTCAGATGGGCTGAGAAGCAAAACAGAGACAAAGGAAAGGAATAATAAAGCAATTTGCAATGGTTCCTTAAGGGGCTATTAACAATCACAGCGGTGGGGGGGCTGCCTTTACAGATCCGAAGCTGTTTCAAAGCCCACTTGACTCCATCACTGGAGATTTTTAAGAGGCTAGACAGTCACTTGTCTGAAATGGTATAGGTTCTCGTGCTTGAGCAGGGGTTGGACTAGAAGATCTCCAAGGTCCCTTCCAGCTCTGTTCTCTTCTCTTCTCCTCTATTCTATTCTATTCTATTCTATTCTATTCTATTCTATTCTATTCCATTCTAACAAAGAAAATACAGTTTGGGGGGACTTTGGGCCAATCTTCTGGCGACAAACTTCCTTGCCACCGTTGTTAAGTGAATCCCTGCAGTTGATAAGTGAGTAACCCAGTTCTTACTCTGGCTTCCCCACTGATTTGGCTTGGCAGAAGGTCACAAAAGGGGATCACATGGATCCCAGGACACTGCGACCGTCATAAATATGAGTCAGTTGCGAAGGATCTGAGGTTTGATCACGTGATCGTGGAGATTGCTGCAGGGGTTGTAAGTGTGAAAAACGGCCATAAGTCCCTTTTTTCAGGGCCTGTGATGACCCAGGGCACAGCACCGAGGCAATGCAGCCAGCTGGCAATTCAAACCACCCTTTAATTGCTCCAAATTTTCCCCAAATGCTCCCACGTTTCTGGCAAGCCTCCAAACAAAGGAAGACACACACACCTCTGGCTGCAAGTAGTTTCACATAAAGTCTGATTAGGAGAGGAATTTACTCAAGGCCACAGAGATAACAAGGAATGACACATACATCATAACATCTAATGAGTCTGTGTGAATGCACGCTTGCCTGAGCAGTTTCAAAAGGGAAGCCAAAATACAGTCCAAGATCTATAAACATCCAAGCAACGTTGTCAGCCAGTCCAATGGTCAGAGAGTCCGGGTTTCCAAGCAGAAGTCACAGAACAAGAGATCAGCAACAACACACACAAAACTCCAAGGAATCAGCGTTTGTTCCCGACAAATGCCTCCCCCCACAGTGTCTCCTTAAATCTCCGGCTCCAGGTGTGCCTTGTGGAGAAGGGCAGGATGCTCTCCTCCCAAGTAGTTGAGCCGGCCTGCGTTGTTCCCTCCTTCTCTCCGTGCTCTAGGATCAGGAGGGGGGTGGCCCTTGCTCATCGCCTGAACTCTGTCTCTCTCCTCCGTTCCTCCTGTCCCAATCCTGAAGGGCTCTGGCCTGCCTCGGCCTGCTTTTCCCTACGTTCCTCTGAAGCTACAGACCCCTCACTCTCCGTAGGGTCCCATTCCACCTCATTTTCCTCCGCAGATTCAGGCACCGACAGAGGCATGACAGGGCCATTATAACTTTGAACGGTCACTAAATGGACTGTTGTAAATCAAGGACTCCCTGTACTTCTATAAATTTCCTGGTGGCGTCTTGTCCATGTCGTCCCCGGATCTGATCCTGCTTAATTCTTTGAAGTCAGCTAAAATCCAGACTAAAGACAACGCTGATGGTCTCGTTTTGGAAAGCGGCTTTCCGAAAACATAAGCTCTCATTAAGATGATTAAACAACAACCCCTGTGACATATATTATGTGACTCTGGACATTTTGTTTGAGGGAAGGGTGTTGTGGGGGTGTTACGGGTGGGTTAAATCCTCTAAATTAATACCAAACTAAGGAGAGCTCTGAAATGAAGGCAGGTCATCAATATTTATTCTATAGACAACAATATTTGCGGTTGTGAAACAGAACTTGCGGAGATTTTTTTTATTTATTTACATTGTTAATCAATCCAAAAAGAATTAAACTAACCTCATAATGTAAAGGGTCAAAGTATTAATTAACTCAAAATTCATTCCGAGTAGCTGGAAACAAGGCAGAAATTGCTGTTCCTAACACCTAAGTTAACTGTGACAACTACGATTTTCATGGATTAGCAAACATTTCCTGCATTCTCACCAAGTTTACGACTAACTTAAATTTTGCAATGCACCTCGATTCAACATTTTTGTCCCTCTTCTCTGCCAGATAAAAATTACATTTCAGTGCTGCTTTAACCCCAGGATTTTTTATTATTATTAATGTAGGTTTTTTTTTTATGCCGCTCTAAACAAAATATAGGTCACATAAACCAAGTCTATGTGGGCCTGGTAGTATATTTACAGTTAAATCCTCCTCATTAGAAACGGATCGTAAATTTGCCTTTGAAACCAGAAAGTAATAGGATTCATTGGCCAGCACAAAATACTATCTATTCTTTTGACCCAGAGACAGCTTATTTCTTTAGAGTAGAGGAACATATGCAAACTCTATCTGCGTTTGAATGCTGGGTGGATTTCACACAAAACCAGTCCTTTAAATCCCAAGAGCGTAAAACTTACACATTGGCTTTAAGATAATGCTGCATTTCTTGTGATTCACATTGTGTATTTGTTATTTTGTTTCCTGCCCAAACTTCTTTTTGGCAGAAAATAAGTAAGCAAATAAGTAAAATTCCACTGCATTCCATTCTCAGCCAAAGCAATTGCTTTTAGGGGAGGAAAGTCTCAAGGCCAGGGATCATAACATTTCTCTTGTGTTGTCTTGGATAACAAGTTGAATAGTTTGAGTTGTGGGTGCTGCATTGCTGGAAGTTTTCTACAAGAGATTGGACAGCCCTTTGACCCTGGTGGTACAGTTCTACAGGGGTTCTAAAATAGCCAGAGGATGAGATAGAACATAGACCCATAGGGCTGGGAAGGTACCTTGGAGGTCTTCTAGTCCAGCCCCCTGCTCAAGGCAGGAGACCTTATACAATCCAGGTCAGATGGTTGTCCGGTCTATTTTTGAAGCCTCCATTGATGAAGCACCCATAACTCCAGGAGGCAAACTATTCTATTGATTATTTGTTCTCACTGTCAGGAAATTCCTCCTTAGTTCTAGGTTGCTTCTCTCCTTGATAAGCCTCCATCTGTTATTTCTTGTCCTGCTCTCTCAGGTGCTTTGGAGAAGAGGTTGACCCACCTCTTCTTTGTGGCAGCCCCTCAGATACCAAAACACCGCTATCATGTCACACCTAGTCCTTCTTTTTACTAGACTAGCTATACCTAGCTCCCTTTACCGTTCATCATACAAGACAGAACCTCTGTTTTGTTTTTTTACTATGTCCTGGAGGATCAGAAGAGAGAAATGGCCCAAGTGTTGATAAAGGTGGTCTATGATCATGTTCAGAGCTAGAGCTAAAGAAAGAAGAACCCTCTTGGCAGATCTAAAACACAGAAGAAACAAAAGAAGTCAACACATTCCGAAAAACATCCTAGAAATCCCGTAGGGAAATACTTGCAAGATGGAGGAATTGCAAACTAACTTTGCTTCCTGATGGCCTGAGCTATTATAAATTCAACTTCTTCTCGCCATCTAATTTTAAAGAGTGTGCTTATTCTCACAGGATGTTGAGAACCAGCTCAAAGGTAGGGGGTGATTTGGCTACATGTTGTAAAGCAACAGGCAAAATTGATCTCTAGTCATGCCGGCTGCATCTTCCCCAAATCATGAAGGAAGCATGAGCAATCTCCAACAAAAACCTGGGATCCGGGTACAACAATTTCACATCTTCACAAATTAGCCAACTGAATGCACCTACTAGTCAACGCCATCCACGGCAACAAAAACACAGTCAAGTCCCAGAGTCTTGATGAACTGAAGCTCAAGGCCCACTCTTACTTTTATGAGCTTCCCACTTCAAAATGAACGGCAGTCACCACGGATGCTCTGTGCATGCCTAGTTTAAGTCCTACCCAACAGATATTTCCAAAGGTTACAATGTGGAGGCCATTGTTACGAACCACAATGGGAAAGGCACGTTGGATATTTCAGTTCAAGAGAAAGCAGACCGACACATCGATAAAAGTTGCTGTTCTGTCCAACTCGGACACGCGCACACACCTCTGCACACAAGCCCTCTGAGTCTTAATGAGAAAAGGCATCTGTGGTTGCACACAAGCACGCACGCGCCCCGGCTTTCTTACCAGTTCTCAGCATTGGGATCAATGCGCTCACACACAATGGTAGCAGTCGTCTGTGTCCGTCCATTGTCAACATCTTGTTGAACTTGCCACCGGTGTGGATCAATGACTCGAATGTCGATGATCTTCACACCTGGGGCAGCCTTAACTCTGCCGGGAAAGCAACAGAGATGGGTTTAGTCCTGAGCAATTAAGGCAAAGAAGAAAGCAACATTCCCAAGTGCTAACAGATCTTTGTGTACTACAGGGCCCCAGAGCAACAACTAGATGGAGCATTGACATGTCTCTCAGCCCTACGGGACAATTTGTCCAAAGTGAATGAGGTCCTTCTCCCAAGCTTCTCCTATGGTCCTCCTCTTTTACCTGGAGGCTGAGTTGTGAGATTCTGATCTGCAGTTACACTGTATTTTTCCAGCCGATGTCATCCTAAATGTATTTATTTTATTTAGAAAATTTATATTGCCACTTACTCGCAACAAATTTCCCTTTCCAAAGCACTTATATGGATATTCTTAAAAGTCAATGGAAACGTGAATGAAGGCCAATCCTCCCTTCTCAATCCTACACTTTAAACCCAACGACTTTGCCCGGGTCAAAGAGGACCATGAGATCCTAAGGAGCAAAATCCTAAGGCCCCTTTTTTTCATTGGCGGGAAAGGTTGGAAGATTTTTGAGGACAAAAGGGGTGTGTGTGGATCCCCTTGGAGATTTAACACATTCGTTGTCTTCCAAGTGGGGGGGGGGAACCTAGGCTGAAAAATGGCTGGGTTTGCAACTAATTTTCCATTAGTCACAAGCTGTCCTTCTGGGCAGGTGGAGAATTCTGGATGGGCTTGTTTTCCACGCCTACTTCTCCATCCGTCTGTTTGAAATCTTAGAGCCTGTGTACTTTTCCCCACCTTTTCCTCCTGCAATTTATGTTGACATGGCAAGGATATAATACCTGTGTTTCCCCGAAAATAAGACCGGGTCTTATTATTACTTTTTCCCCTGCAAAAGAGGCACCAGGTCTTATTTTCAGGGGTGTGTGTCTTTTTTGCTCACCTCCTGCAATAATAATAATAATAATAATAATAATAATAGTAGTAATAATAATAATAATTATAATAATTATTATATATAATAATAATAAGTGGTGCAATCCCAAAACAACTGGAGCACCACTTGAACACCATTGGCATTGACAAATTCGCTATTAGTCAATTGCAAAAGGCGGCCTTATTAGGAACTGCTTCCATCCTGCGACGATATCTGTAATACCATGAAACATCCACATCTGCCTATCCCAGGTCCTGGGTAAGGACTCAATAGGTAGACAAAATGCCAAATCCAGTCTGAACATCTGGCTGACTGTGCGATGATCCATAATAATAATTATAGTAATAATAAATACCATCAAACATCCACATCTGCCTATCCCAGGTCCTGGGTAAGGACTCGATAGGTAGACAAAATGCCAAATCCAGTCTGAACATCTGGCTGACTGTGCGATGATCCATAATAAAGTTGGAAGGGACCTTGGAAGTCATCTAGTCCAACCCCCTGCTCAGGCAGGAAACCCTATACCATTTCAGACAATGGCTGTTCAGTCTCTCCTTAAAAACTTCCAGTGTTGGAGCATTCACTGCTTCTGGAGGCAGGTCGTTCCACTGGTTAATTGTTCTCACTGTCAGGAAGTTTCTCCTTAGTTCTAGGTTGCTTCTCTCTTTGGTTAGTTTCCACCCATTGCTTCTTGTCCTGTCTTCAGGCGCTTTGGAAAATAGCTTGACTTCCTCTTCTTTGGGGCAGCCCCTGAGATACTGGAAGACTGCTATCATGTCCCCCCTCGTCCTTCTCTTCATTAAACTAGACATACCCAATTCCAGCAATCATATGCTTTAGCCTCCAGTCCCCTAATCATCTTTGTTGCTCTTCTCTGCACTCTTTCTAGAGTCTCAACAGCTTTTTTACATTGTAGTGACCAAAACTGGATGCAGTATTCCAAGTGTGGCCTTACCAAGGCCTTGTAAAGTGGTATTAATACTGCCCAGCAGTCCCACTTCTTCTCCATTTCTTCTGCAGCCAAACGAGCAGCTGCAGAACACAGCTGCATTCTGGCCTGCATTTCGCAATCAAAGGCCTTTCTGGAAGGCCTCTGCAGCCGAGTACCGAGCTATGGATTCATGGCTCGGTCCTCAGCTGCAGTGGCCTTTCCAGAAATGCAGGCCTGGCTGCAGGAGACACGCAGAAGAAGAAGTGGGCCAGCAAGGAGAGGCTGGCTGCAAGCTGAATGGGTGCAGGGCACATGGGGCAGATCCACACCCCTCAGCCCTGCCCTGGCTTGATTTTTAACTGTGCCTCACCCCAAAACTAGGGCTTATTTTGGGGGTAGGGCTTATATTAGGCCCACCTCCAAAAATCAAGCTAGGGCTTATTTTGGGGAAAAGCCTTACTTTCAGGGAAACAGTTTAGTTTATCAAAGCTCTGGATTCCAGGCAAACAGCGTAACCTGGGGGCAGAACAACAACAAGCATCAGACAATGTTTTTAGGAAAGCATCCAAGCAGAAACACTGCTGACAGGTGTATCAGGGCCAGGTAGGAAATTCCAGTCTAGGAAAACAATCCACCAGTGGAACAGCCTGCCCCCAGAAATCGTGGGCGCCCCATCACTGGAGACCTTTAAGAAAAGACTAGACCATCCCCTGTCTGAGATGGTGTAAGGTTCTCCTGCTGAAGCGGGAGGGGGGCTGGACTAGAAGACCTCCAAGGTCCCTTCCAGCTCTCTTCTATTCTATCTACTCAGGCTCTTCAGGTAAAAAGTGTAGGTACCTGAAGAGGCCAAACTAAGAGATCAAGGAAACTCAGAGCTGTTCCTTGCATTCTGCAAAGTCAGTCAACGTAAGGTGACCAACTTTTTTACAATGAAAAGGAGGACACAAATAAATGGAAGAAAAAAATATCGTAAACAAAAGAAACATTTTATTCACTGCAACAATAATACAGGCAACTTGCATGTGCAAAGTTTGACGGCCGGGTGTTTTGGCGCGCTCAGCAGCAATTCCTATTGGCTTTCAAAAGCCAATAAGGGGAGTAGCACAGCTCATGCAGAAGTTGAAAACAAAACCCGTCAAAAAAAAGGTGCCGGAACGCCGTTCTGAGCATTCTATGAAGGAAAAAATAAGCCCTGCAGATTAGTCTTCAAATATCGAAAAGGAGGACATGAAGGAGGACACTTTTCTTTTTTTATTTTAAAAAAATTATTTGACTTTTCAACACATATAATACTTTCCATACATTATATATAAAACTAAAAAAAAAAGAGAGAAAAATACCTTTAAAATAAGACCTTAGGTGTCGCTCGTCTATCTCTCCCCCAACTGCATCCGCCCTCTCAACCTTCCTTCCTTACTTCCCTACTCCCTCTCTCCTCTCCTCTCCTCTCCTCTCTCCCTTCATCCCTTCCTCCCATCCAACTTCCTTCCTTCCCTCCTCCTCCCCTCTTATCCCTCTTCGGATACAGTTCAGGGGAAACACCCGAGCAGCACCAAGGAGGACACTTTTCGAGGGAGGACAGAACTCACAAAAGGAGGACTGTCCCCCCTAAAGGAGGACGGTTGGTCACCTTAGTAAACGCACAAAAATGCACGAATCAGGTGGACCTTCTTGGTCATCCCAAGGCAGAAGTAAGACCTTTAGAGCTGGGAAAAAGAAAAAAAAAAGCTGGTTCATCCTTCTGGTCCTCCAGCAATTTTTAATGAATTCCTTGTTGCAAGTATGAAAGAGAAAAAGAAAAACAAAAGAAGGCTTAATAGATTTGCAGAGTTTACGGGGGGGGGGGTGGAAGGAAAAAAGAAATAGGAAGATCTATTTCTGAACAACTCCAAAGTGATGCCCTAACAGGAGCTGTTGTTGATGCGGTTTTATTGGGAGATCCGCCTAAAGAGAAATGTTGACGGGAAAGTAAGTGGCTGGAAACAAGAGTGCTTAAATTTTTATGAACCACCGGCTTTACATTTGTGCGCAGAGGTTTCGCCTTGTACAAGCTTGTTTTTACATCGGATTTGAGAGGATGGTGTTTCTTTCCAGCTGGAATATTTTTTTTCTTTTTTTTTAATCCACATGGCTCAGGGCCAAAACAAAAGAATTGAACTGAAGCAAGAACTGGGAAATCAATCAGCTAGTTGACAATGCTAACAGGATTACGCTGCAGTCTGGTGTCCGTTTACTCTTAACAAGGAGGCCCACTGGGTTGGAAGCTCATTTACTCCCAGGTAAGGGAGTAGGCTGCAGCCCTTGGTCTACTAATAAAGCAGTCATTTGGAAAGGCAGAAGCCACTATGGAAAAACCACCATTTCTAAACCGTGAAAAGCAAATGGATTTTTAGAGGTGTGTGTGGGGGGGTGGGGACTTATTTTTTCCTGCTAGTTTTAAAATCATCTTCACGTTAGTTACAATGGGACGGGAAATGAATATCACGGCTTTGGATGTGGACATTTTTTTTTTTTGAAAAGGCATTGAAAGATTTACCTAAAGAGCATTTTTTTAAAAAAAAAAAGTTGTTCTTTCTGATTGACTTGGAAGGTAAGCAGGATGGGGCTCAGTTCAAACTCAGAACGGAGACAATCCAGAAATCCTAGGATGGTTGGGTAGATCGGAAGGTCAAAAGAAAACAAAAAAATCACAGAATCCAGTTTTTGGGGAGAAAATTAAAAGGTACGGTTCTGGGTGAAAACTGACATTCACAGAGTGTTTATATGATTATGATTATTATGGATCATCACACAGTCAGCCAGATGTTCTATTATTATTATTATTATTATTATTATTGATAATAAAGTTGGAAGGGACCTTGAAGATCATCTAGTCCAACCCCCTGCTCAGACAGGTAACCCTATACCATTTCAGACAAATGGCTGTCCAGTCTCTTCTTAAAAACTTCCAGTGTTGGAGCATTCACCGCTTCTGGAGGCAGGTTGTTCCACTGGTTAATTGTTCTCACTGTCAGGAAGTTTTGCCTTAGTTCTAGGTTGCTTCTCTCCTTGGTTAATTTCCATCCGTTGCTTCTTGTCCTGCCTTCAGGTGCTTTAGCTTGACTCCCTCTTCTTTGGGGCAGCCCCTGAGATATTGGAACACTGCTATCATGTCCTCCCCCGTCCTTCTCTTCGTTAA